GATTCCGAGCTGTTGGATCTAGAGACCAGACACCAAGTGCTGTCCACTTATATGTGGCTATCTAATCACTTTGAGCGAGGGACATTTCCGTACTTTCAGAAGGCTGAGGCTATGGCAGCAGGTGTTGCTGAGTTGCTGGGAGAGTCTCTGACTAAAGCTTGCTGGAAGCCGGAATCAAGAAAGGCCGGGAAACCAAAGACCAAGAAGGATAATAATGATGACAATGATATGGAAAGGCCGGAGAAATCACCAGAACAGCGCAAGCGCATTGCCGCATAGTGTGAGGCACTTCTGCATGACTTTGTTTATATTGGTCTCTTCTTATCTCAGTCTTACACTGTAAGTAAATCCAAAATATTCAAATAAAGCCTCGTTTCGCTTTATTTTTCCAACGAGCACAAAGATGTAAATGCTAATTGCAGACTGTTTGTTCCAACAGCTTCTGTTGTTGGTTCGTCGTGGTCTGATTGGCACCGTATATATGCTCAAAAGAAGCCACCTAAAAACACAGATTATATGGTCTGCTTTCCTGCCCATGGAGCCATTATTCGTGCATGGTTTAGTTCTTGGCAAAAAAAAAAAAGCCATGGCAGGAATGGGCAACCTGTGCAAATTATGGAGCTCTATTGCTAGTGGGAAATGACTGGCTGTTTCCATGGGGTTTCATCATCTTCTTCATGGACCAACAACATCTTAAAGGAGAATTATCTGTTTTTAAATTTCCAAAGAAGAATAAGAAGAAGAAGAAGAAGAAGAAGAAGAAGAAGACATATTATAGAGTTGTAGGGTCTCTTTTTTGCCTAAATTATGATTGGAGTATGAAATCTGGAGTCTAGGTTTAGGAGTAGCTTTAACAAAAAGCTGGATGCTGTAATTTGTGAAAATGTTCTGTGAATGAGCATTTATTTTTGAGGCAAAAAAAAAAAAGTGTTCATCTCATAATCAAAACTAATCGGAATAAGCTACTTGCGTATACTATATATTATGTGTGGAACGATATTTTCACTTTGGTAATTACGATATCAATATAGTCATTTATTCCAAATTTAAAAAAAACATGAACTATTATGCCGCGTACCTCCAAGTATTTCTTCCTGCAGAAATAACCTACCTCTAACCCTAGCTCTATAAGGCATGCCTTCCAGCCGACACTCTGTTTGACTATCCACGGTGACTGAAAATTCAAGTGAATTAATAGGGGTAGAAGGGTCAATTTAGACAAAATAAATAACATTAAGAGATTGAAGTAGGGAATCATTAAAAAGTGGCAAACTTAACCCTGAGTGATCAATTAATTAGAACAGATAACCAATGAAACAGTCATCTAGGTTTTCATGTTCATGTAATTTATAGTATACTCATGTATAAAGAGAAGTAAAAGTTCTACATTCAAATCATGTGTTCTAAATTATATCATCAGAGTCTGATTTATTGAAAAGGGACCATAAATTGTGATAGGATGCTTCGAAAACAAACATTTTGTTGATGGGTTATTACGAAATACCTATGATATTTCTTAGGACCTGCCAAGTCTCCTAGTACAGGAAGTGCTAAACTGATGGGTTTTTTTGCGGATTTCTAATTAAGAAACAATGTAAATATTTTAAAAATTGTATTCGTAATGGGTTCTGTAGTAATAGGCTTACCTGGATTATTTTCATGCAATGTACACTGTTTTGCTTGGGGCTGATTTCTTCATGGGGGGCCTATTCAAATATGAACATTTACATTGAAATGTGCAATAGGGAAAGAAGTATGTTAAAGAAAGGTACACTTCAGTATCAAAAAGTAGTTATACTTGGTGTTTATACCTGCCATACCTTCTGTGGCCAGAGTTGTCTGACCACTTGTAGTCATGTGCCTCTGTTTGCTTCTCTTATTCTGAAGAATGAGTTTCCGCCTTTTTCGTGCTTGTTAGTATATTCTTCTTGAATTTTGGTGTTCATGGCTGTTGATATTCATATCCATATAGTGATTAAGTTTGTGTGTTTGCTTATGTAGTAATAATATAGTATTTATAAGAGCATATCTAGTTGTTGCATATTGTCCTTTCATATGCTCAGAGGTTGTTTCCTTATGCATTTATGGTGTATTTAAGTATCATATTTATTCTGGTAATTGTGTGTGCTGTATTAAATTATCATGAATGCAATTTATTTGATAGAATGATAATTAAAATCCCTGTATCCAGATATGGATGGTTAGTCATATGGATCGTAAATTATAGGAATCACTGGTATTCTCTTTTTATTTCTAACAGTTTTAATTCAACTGGTAATTGCATGGGAAATACCTTTTTTTGAATTTTGGATGACAATGAGTTCTATCCCTAGAATCAATCTCGGTTTTATACCATATGACCTAGGTGTAGCCGTACCTGCGATAATAAATGTGGGTAAAAAGTTAAATTTCCGTTTACATCTCATTTGTTGGAAGAGAACTTTGGTAAATACACACAAACATCAGGATTGAGGGACTTGTAAGAAATAATTTCAAACCATCATGGCCAATAAATATAATCAGAACAATGAATTGTAGGGAATAATTTTAAAGGCGTGTCATCAGGTTTTGAAGTTTGGATTATTTTCTTACTTTTTTCTTGTAACGGTGTGTGGAATCTTCAAAGTCGTCCTCAGATATGGCTAAGTTAGACTTCAAAAGGAGCTCTTAGAATCTCTATGCAGGATAAAAAGGATATATTAGCAGGTTATTGTACCATTTAACCATACACACATAGATTTGAACAGAATTAAATGGTAACATACAGAGTGACAAAAAAGAGGCTGGTAACTGTTAAATGCTAA